AAAACTTTCAGGCTAAGGTTACAATAAACGGGACATCGGAGTCTCACTAACAGAGTTCTAACAAAGAAGCTTAAAACTTTTTTTTTTTTTTTTTTTTTGCAAGTTTAGCAACCTGGCCTAAATCTCAATTTTAATACCAGTTCAAAAATGAATATCAATTCATGGCAATACTAGCTTTCACAGTCAAATGTGTCAGAATGGATGCTGTTCGACTAAGCTAGAAAACAGATAAAAGATCATGAAAGTTATTTGCCCAATTTTTAGTCACTTCGAATTGTAGCGGCCTGTCAAAAACAAAAACTATGCACAAATTCAAGCTTACGGTTTGGGTTGCTGTTGCAGAATTAATTAGACCAAACATAATTAAAAGGAGGGGGGGAATAAAATGAAATAAAAAATAATATGACTATAGACCTCCCTTTTTTGAAGAGGAGCAGCCGAGAAAAGATTGCATTAGTGTCTTTGTTCAATCATAGAAATGAACTGAGAATATAAACTTACGGTTCAGTAGAGGAGGCGCGGTGGCCTCGTGGTTAGTGCGCTCGTCCCCGGATCGAACGGTCCGGGTTCGAACCCTGGCCGGGGACATTGCGTTGTGTTCTTGGGCAAGACACTTTACTCTCACAGTGCCTCTCTCCACCCAGGAGTATAAATGGGTACCGGTGAATTGTTGTGGAAACCTAACAAATTGCAGGGGAGTGACCTGCGATGGGCTAGCATCCCATCCAGTGGGAGTAAAAATACTCCTAGCTGCTTCATGCTACAGAAATCGGGATAAGCTCCGGCAGCTATGGGCCAGTCGGCTCCAAGGCTTCACTTTCTTTTTTCAGTAATGGTAGTTCTGTTGTAGTAACAAACATTGTTTTTCTACATGCAGACGTACGTGAAAAATAACTGGAAGGCAGCCGTTATCGTGTCTGTATTAGTGGCAACTGTGAGCTCTCTGGTCACCTATCATTCATCGCAATCCGGGTGAGTTTGAAGGAGATCAATATTGCACTCGAAACAATATGCCAATAAAGCAAAAAATTGTGTTTAGCAGGTTAAATAAACTAACCACACACACACACTAATAAGCACGCACAATCACACTTTGTCGTTGTATCCACTGAGGCGCAAATTTGTTTATTTATTTGGTGATTGCCGATTAGCATGCAACTAAACGTACTTGAAAAGCAAAAAAAGTGACGTAGTTTAGGTTTGCAGATGTACAGTTTAGGCTGTGTTGCTATTGCTGTGCCAGTGGCATTGGAAACAATGTGTATTTAAATCAGAAGATATTTCATGAGGACCAATTTATTGCAAACGGTTTAATCCCGGGGTTTTAATCACTATTCGATGAAGGATTCGTCAAAGGCGATTGTAGTCCAGGTGGGCTTTCATTTGCTGGAATCACTGACTACTGCATGTCGTGTTGATCACGTAACTGTCTTATTTGGACTGGCCTCAGTGACGTTAACCAGTTATTTCTCTTTTAGATCCAAACCGCCACAAGTGGCTTCGTCTCACTTGCCCTCCTTCACAACAACCTTGCTCCAAGGAACTGAGCAATCCGACTATGGTAGGACAAGTTTTCCATTAACTTATCTGGGCTTCATTTAAACAAATGTCAGGCATAAATATCTCAAAATTGAAGACAACCAAAATACATGGCTAATTTGCATATTAATTTACAAACCGTGCAAATATTACTTTGTTTCGAGAAGCACTGTTTTCTCTTCCAAGAGACTGCTGTCTTTGTGATTTAAGTTAATTTCGAAAGGTGCAGAATGTATTTACAGTAACAAAAGCCCAGTCCTTAAACTTCACGAGTTTTTAACCATTGAAAACAACGAAAGCTGGATTTGGCCACATTTTAAGAGGATGGTGATCCTCATGCGAACTTCTAATTTGGAAAGATACAATCAGAAAACCAAAAAGTCGCTGCAAACCTATAGCTCCTTATGATTTATTGCAAAGTTTTTCACATGGTTATTAGTTTAATTTGAATATAACTGAGAATTCATTTTCATAAGAAAGAATGTAAATGAAGCCTTGCTTTGATAAAGAGGCTCAAAGCAACTCGAAATTTGGCCCTACTTCGCAAACCACTCGAGCCGTGTGCCTCTTTGATCTTTCGCAAATATGTAATGTTTACTCAGTCAAGAGCAATCTACTGATAACCTCGATCTGTTTCTAGATTCAACATAGCATTACATGGTACTTTTGTCCTTTCGAAATTCCAGGGATACGAATGGATCCACAGATCCGAGATTGCAGTAATGAAGGGCATTGGAAGATGACTTTTCCAGACCTAGACTACAGCTTGCTTGGTTATGATATTCTCTATGGGTATCCCTTGGCTAACGGACGCGATCCAGGGTTCAGACACCCCATTTTCAGGGCTGACTTCTCCAAAGCGAAACAAAGTTCAGATTGTCGCTATACATATCCTGAAGGCTTTATGGTAGTCCCAAGTGAATCTTGTGTGGTGTCGTTTCAGTCAAAATTGATTCGTAATAGACAACAGATGTCCGAGCACCTGAGATTTCAAGCTAGTGTTGAAGGTACATCAATTGTAACACAGGCCGTTCTCTGTGTCGTCACGCAACGTAGGGGCGTTGTGTGACAACACAGAGCAGCTGCCGGGATGCTTCAGGTATATCTTTAAAACTGAATTAGACTCTTCCAGCTTACCGTTTTAGTGATTTTGTCGCCGGGATAATTGTAAAACCTATACACTTTGTTTGGTGAACGCCACAAACACCGTTTTGGTTTGCTATGGCAGGAGCTAGCAAAACCAAACGGGGTCTGAACAATGGATTTGCACAAGAGGAGGGCGGGGGTAGAGGGAGAAGGCAATCTCTATCTTTATGCTTCCTGCTTCCGTTGCATCCAACATCCCACATCCCTCCCTTCTAGTAGTATACTCTACCCATCTGGTGCTTATGGAAGCCAAAGAGTGGTCGCTACTTTTAACTTGAATACGCAAGAGTCAGAGGGGTTCGATCTCTCTGACGACAAAGCAAAATATTAAACTGAACCATTCCCTTCAGTGCCCTGAACCAAACGTCCCAGTTACTGATTAGCCCAAAATCTGCACTCCACCCCCCTTCCCCTCCCCTCTCCGCACACACCTTCATTACTGTTATGGCATGATGTACTCTCTTTATTCAGGAAGCGGATGGGGGTTTGAGTTTTCTGCCAGCACCGAGTATAAGAAAGATACAGCTGAGATGTCATCGGGGGAATTCCTGATCGTCTTGTCACACGCTGAATGTCAAAATTACTACAGTATAATTGATTTCACGAATCCACCACCATTTGACCCTGGATTCCTTTCCTGGGCAAAAAAACTCGCCGTGCCGAAGACCAGTGACGAAGCTATCATGGAATTTGTTCAATATTACGGCACTCATTTTTTCAGTGACGTGACGTTCGGGGCAAAATTTGTCCAACACCACAAACTCAGTCAGAAGACCTATGAATCCTTAAAGACAAGTGAAATCAGCGTTGAAGCGCAAGCAAGCTACTCAGGACTCTTCAGTATTGGGGGTGGATTTTCTTTGGACAAAAAGCAAAGTGAGGCCGCATCAAACTTTTCAAAGTCCGTTGAGACGATCACATATACTGTGGGATCCACGCCACCAAGTAACGGAGATGCTTTGACTTGGGCAGCGTCCGTAGACCAGAACCCAGTCCCTATGCTCTATTCACTTTCGCCCATCGATGTTCTGTTCACTGAGCCGTTTACCAAGAGTCTGCCGCGTGACGTGAACTATACTGCAATAAGAGAAAACCTGAGAAATGTCTCACAAGTCTACTTTCACGCTCTAGCAAAAGCAGGATTGGTCCACTCTTCTGATCTTCGCTTTCATCTTCGGTCCGAAGGTGTGGACATCTTTGAAAAAGGTAGTCATGCTTTTGTTGCAAGTAATGTCACAGGTAGACCAAGTTCAAGATTGCGATGATGTGAGAGCTGATTTTAAAGTTTTTTTTTTTTTTTTTAAATCAAAATAAGTCTAAATTAGGTCTATTTAGTGTTCGTAACCTAAGATAGTTCATTCCTCATACGAAGACTACCAAATTCTCATCGGCAACCTGTAATTTTTACCGCTTGTACTTCAAAGTCTCGACTTGCCCCGTCGCAACGTAAACTTGGGCTACCTGTGGTAATGTTTGCATGAAAAAAAAAAGACTGTTTATTTCACTGAAAACGAGGATAATATTTCTCAAGAGGTTCAAGTTTAATTCTTTGTTTAGTTTAAGTTTCGCTCATCAGCCGCTATGGAGGGTTTGCCAAGACCTGAAATTAATTTCCCGTGAAAAGGGCACTTTGTAAGAAAGCCATACCATAGACCACTTTAATAACTGGCGGCCAATTATAAATTCTTTTGCAAGTATTAAAATTAGCCTTACTAACCTCATTTTGAAGTTGGTAATTCAAAAGAATTTTTTACTCTGAAACGAGGTTAGTAAAACTAATTTAAATGTATACAAAAGAATTATAAATTGGCAGTCATTTATGAAAAGGGTCTATAGGGTTTTATTGATATCTTTGAGACCCGATATAATTTGATTATGTACAAAACAGTAATGAACTAAAATTTTAAAGAAAAGTTTCATAAAAAGAAAACTGTTACGCTCAATTCTATTTACTCACTCACTTTCTACCTCCGTCATACGCTCGCTTAATTTTTTTCGCCCTCTTGGAGGAATATAGCTGCTGTAGTAAGGGATACATAAAAGGTAGTCAGACCCTTTATTTACCGACATTTTGGTTGTCTTGACAGGCTACAAGTCCCTAAAAAACGTTGACAACTCCACTTGTCTCTCGTTTTGTCGTCAAGATGAAAATTGCGCATCTGTTGTGTACAGTCAACTTCATCCCCCGTTCAAGAATTCAAACTGCAGATTTTTCAACAACACTGCTAATCTCACCCTTGTGGATCCAGCGACCTTTAACCCACCCAGACGGTCAGTCTTAATTATCCCAGAGAGCGCGCAAAAAGGGTTTTACTTGCAAGCTGCCCTAATAGGAAAACCCTTTCTAGTAGATGACGCAAACACCTTAGAAGATTGTGACGACAATTGTTTCCACAAAGAGGCCAGCAGCCGCTTTTGCGATGCTTATACTTTCAATCTGACCTCAGTCGCCAGTGGTCGCTGCTCCCTGTACACAAAGAAAGACATAACAAGCATCGTGTACAGTCGCAGTGTAATACATGTAGTAACAAGATTGTAGTGGCACGAACACGGCGTGGAAAAGTGTTTTCAGGTCGGGTTTGAGGTACTGATTATTTGCTGATGTCTGTTTTTTCCACGTGTGTTTTTCCCATCGCTTTATAGGGCGATTTGATGAGCCTTATTAGAAACGGCCCATTAGAAAAGTGATGGTGGTGGTGGTGGTGGTGGTGGTGTGTGTCCTCTTGGCACCGACGTGATCAAAATTGCCCTCTGGGGAAAAAGGGGGCATTACGGTCCTCTCAGTCTGATATCAATTTCAAAGTACTTCCCGAGTTCCCGCAAGTTCATCTTTGTGCTAATCTTGGACAAAATTACCAATCCATTGGGAAGGGGTCATTACAACTGAGATTACTGAATTAAGGACTAAATCTGGCGTGTGAGGAAGATCAATTTTAGACTTTTCCTCATACTCAGTCCTCATACTCTACAATAAAGTCTTCAACTGATGTGTCCCGGCTTCTGCGCGATCAAAATTTCCCTTGAAGAGAAAAGTGGGCATTGCATTATATAAGTTACACCATAAATGCAAAAATCAATCTAGAGGTTATCTGTCACTATTCTAGCGAATCATTTTTCCCTATTGGCCATTTGTTATTTATTTACCTCATTCTAA